GAGATATATATTGAATTAAGACCCAGAGTTAAACGAATATACATGATCAGTATGTATATATAGATAGATGTATGCACTGGCAGTATGTGTACTCTCGGACATACCACTACACTTATGTCATGTATGCAATGTAGCGGCTGCGCTAGCTAGAGGCTAGAGTTTCTAATTGGGAATACTTACTCAGTGGACTCGACCGTGGGCGTTGTCGGCATTATCATCAATATGCAGTTCACGAGAATGGTGGTAATGATAAATAACGAAAATAATGGATGCACTAAAATGTAAATGGCCACACGACGTATCGGATTGAATGGATCGAGCAGCCACATTGCTTTTGATGCAGAAAAGCGAAAAATATCTTTTCCCTTGCTTACAACTACGAATGTCTGCAAAACGAGATATACAAACAATTGGATGGATTTGGATTGCAATTGAATTGGGTTCGGTTCGATTAGATCAGTCAATTGGTAATCGGCAATCGGCAATCGGCAATCGGCAATCGCAATCGATAACACTGATTTGGGACAAACACTCACCAGTACATTGCTGTAGTATGGATCGATATCCTCGAGAGGAGTGGAGGCCAATTCCGGCGGGAAGCTGCCCTGCAATCGAACAGGTATTGGCACACCCTGTTCAAGTGTAGGATCCGGTTGTGGACCTTCATCCTCGTCCTCGTCATCATATCGGATCTGATAGTTCCGGTACGTTTCAGACGTTTCAGGCGTTCCATGAAGACAGAGAACAAACAAGTGCGCACACAAATATTAGCATAAGCAGGAAAATCGCTTTCAATTGTCATCACATATATACATATATATTDATATACATATATATACATATAGTGTATATGCACATATATATATTTGTAGTTTGTCCATTGATGTTAACAAGTCATAAGTGGTGAGTAAGTAGGTAAGGCACATTAGTAGGTTAGTTTAAATGAAAAAGTTAAGGCAATCACAGTAACTAAAATGTTATTTTCAATTTTGAAATATTCTAAAAATAGTTTTTAGTTCTTGTAATTTTCGTAATTCGGTTTAAAATTTTGCATAGCACAGTTAGTGGGGGCATCAGATCATAGATGGGAGTTGAAATTTTGTCGTGTTTTGGAATCAGAATTCGAGTTCTGAACTGGGTCAGTATGCAAAAGCTATAACCAAAGTGAACTTGGGCCAATCACTCTCATTAATAATTTCATTTAGATATTTATCAGATCTGGATTGAACATTTCTATATACAAGTCGGAAATTATAGGGTATAGTAAAGTAAAAATATATTGTGAACTATAGATTGAAAGCGATTTGGATTCGTTCATTATTTGCATGCAATACAGTGTTTGTATTTAACCAGTGTTGTGTAACTTCTGTACAAAGCATGTTGAGAGTCATCAAATCGTGCACGTGCTAAAGGCTTACATATAGAGTTCTTCATACATACTACATATTTATATATATATATACAATCAAGCACACTCACACACACTCACACACACACACATATTCACATTCACATTCGCAACTCATAGGACACGCCATTTAGACAGAAAACTTGGACAATTCCAATTTGGAATTGAGTTCAGATATCATTTTTCGTTCATTTTCGCATGCCCGCTCGCGTGAGTGAAGAGGGTATATTGGTTTTGTTAGACAAATCAGAAGAACTTTTCTATTTGAATATAGATTATATAAATATTTCAGATAGATCAAATGTTACAGTTATATGACAGAAACCTTGCATAGGTTATATAGATAGCTAGGCTAACTTCATCTGGTAGAAAGTTCAAATTATATGAATAAGCTAGGTTAATTTAGATAGTTAGTTCCAAGGTGATTTATATACTATATAGCTAAGATTGAGATAACTATTTGATCAGAATCTATATACTTATAGGTTATCAGATAGATAGTTGAGATTATCTGGGAAAAGTGGATAGTGGATTGTATTTTAGGCTCTATAGAAGAGTTGTACAAGTAATTCCCTGAAAGACAAGATATATTCAATCTGAGCTTTATCTCTACTAATTGTAGTGTCACTATCAGCTCGTATATCTGTGAACGTGTGTTACGCCGTCGATTGCAGCCCGTCATAGCAAAGTTCTTAGTTGTTTTGTAGTTTTTTGGCTTTTTCATATTTCTTATGACGATGATTATTTTTGTATGCTTTGGGCAACTTTAATTGCCCTGTCATGCATATTGTATGGGGGACAATATTTGTGTCCCATTGCTGGGGCCATGGCACGTCTATCGATTTCAAGAAACCCTCACTCAAACACACACACACACACAGAGTGCGGCTGTATCGATGTACAAAATAACTAGGTATTGTGCTCGTAGTTAGTTTTTACTTTCCATGGACATGGATATGGACATGGACATGCAATGCCAAAAGCAAAAGTAAAGCAAAAAGTCGAACATCAGCGTCATGAAATTGTTCGAGTTACTATAAAGATACACTAGCATACAGAGAGAGAAAGAGAGAGAGAGACACACACACACACACACACAGTGGCTATAGCAGCGCTAAAAAAAATTCCATAATAGTTGGTTTGTTTGCTTGTTTGCTTGGCGTGACAATTAGATTGTGTGTGTGTGTGTGTGGGCCTTTGCACTTGTATTTGTGTGTTGACGCAATTGCGCCAACGAATGGGGACACAGGGATGAAGCAGGAGCCGAAGTCGTAGCCGGAGCCATGACCATATAGCCAGAGTGCCGCAGTCCCGATGACGGCCAAGGGGCAGTCCAGGGGCCGGGCTGCCTTTTTAAACAGACCAAGTCAAGTCTATATTTAAACTAATAAAAGGCAAAACCGCACTACAGGGCTCACACTCTCAAGCACACACACACACACACACACACACACACACACTGACAATATGGCGGTTACAACCGGATACGTCTATTCCTGTTGACTTACACACAGAGCGAGAACTTATGACGCATGCAACGACTGGAACTGGAACTGGAACTGGAACTAGAACTGGCGCACAGAAAACAATAATTGAAATCTGTATTCAAAACTTTTGCTTATGTCATTATAGAGCTCGTCTACATCTTGCGCTTCGCGAACAATATTTACAGTTAGACGAAAGACCTAGAAGAATTTCGAATAGAATTTTATGTGGAAAGAATTTATAGTCGTAAGCTGAGAAACTACACAGACAAAACTCGTTTACACTAGAAAAGTCGGCATATATGGTATAAAATACTCATTCACGCTTCATATGTAGGATCTATATATAGAACAGCTTGAGGGAGGAAAAGTGGCCAATAAATTTATCTGCTTATAATTCTATATATATAGGATATAATATACAACTTCTAGTGTTAAAGATAAGGCAGAGTTTTCAATGAACATTTTAGCTAGTAAATTCGAAGAATTTAGAAGACAATAGTATATTAAGAGAGAGAGAGAGAGAGAGAGAGAGAGAGAGAGAGAGAGAGCGAGACTGTCAAAAACCAATATACTCTCTTTTAGCCCATGTGAACGAGCAAGCAACGCGGACGTGATAGATATTTAACGATTAGATTGATAACCTTTGCCAGGCAAACAAGGACGTGGGCGCTACCTTTGACATTAGAGAGCTGTCATGTCTTCAGCGTTGCCAGATGCATGAAATATTGAGCGATTCAAAGCCAATGAAATTGATGCCTTCTACAAATATAGCTTAGACTAAGATGCAACATGCAAATGCAATAATGCTGCGCACACACTCACACACACACACACACACACACACACACACACACACACACACACACAAATACATAAATTCATATATACACACTCACAAATACACACAGAGTTGAGATGTCGAGCTCTATTGTTGATTAGCTACTTAATGCCAGCTAGAAGGCATCGCACTAGGTATAATTAGTTAGTCAGTTATCTATGCATATATACGAGTAGAACTAGAGTTGAACAAGCAAGCAGCTACAAATTAAAAACAACTCAACTCAAATTGCCTGTGGAGTAGCTTCTGTCTAATTAATTGCCGCACTTAATGCGCAGCTTTCATTTCGAGCTAATGAACTGCAGAAGGCGATAAAAAAAAACCCCAAATGAGAGTTGAAATTTATTCAAAAATTGTTGTATAAAATTAAGGCAATATACTCTTTACTTTTTGGAATTTACAGGGTATGCCGAGTAGTTGGGCATACCCTATGTAGAGCAATGAATCCCTGTAGCTGCATATCTTTTAGATTAAGTCTATGACTTCAGTTATTTACAGGATATACAAATGTAGATAGTCTGCTCAAGTATTATACCTTTAATTATAGCAAATGATTATAGGGTATAGACGAGAAAGCGAAAGAGAGAGAGCCTTTAAAAGCTAGAACGCGGACATGCACGCCTATTTTACTGATCAATATACGCATATGCTCAACGGACATACCCTTTATTGTCCACAGGGTTACAGAGTATACAGAGAGACAGAGCTCTTAAGAGCTATAGCTCAGACATGTATATACATATACATCTATATATATTTAATTCATAGAATTTAAGACAAATCTGCATAATCCCAACAAGCATTAGTGGGTAAGCACATTACAGGGTATACGGCATAGTTAAACTGAAAATGAAAGAGGGATAGGGATCCCAGATATCTAGAAGACGGACGGAAAGCACTGCAATATGGAGGAATTCCAATGTTTGTTGCCTCAACTAGCATACCCCTCCAGTTACCCCTCCAGTTTACAGGGTATGCAATATTAAAAGTATATATATGTATAGCTATAAAAAGGCAAAAAAAAAAAAAAAGCTGCGCATTAACTTCGTTTCAAATGCCAAAGTTCGCGACAATTATAATTAATATCATTTGTTGTTATTGTAATTGTTGTTAAGGCTGTTGCTAATGTAGCTATTGTTGTAGTTATTGTCGTTGTTACAGTTGTTGTTGTTGTTGTCATTGACGTTTGAGCACTTACTTCAGCATTTACCATTTACCCACTTACTGCACTGCGCCCAGGCACGCGCTGAGTCACCATTCAGATGATATATTATGATTTATGTATGGTATATCTGGATGTATGCGGTATAATACTCTATGTATGCATATTATACCGTTAATTGTTGTGCTCGGCAATGCGAAATTTTGTTTTCAAGAAAAACAATTTGGCATTTGCGCGCATAAATCATCAGACATCTGCATAGTATGGTCAAAAGAAATCGTTAACCTGAACCTAGGCCTGAGCCTGAGCCTTAACCTGAGCTTGAACCTGAGCTGAGCTCATCTATTCAGATAAATAAATACATCCATATAAATGCACGCACACACACACCCACACACACACACACACACGTATAGATAGAAAATTGTAAAATATATAGTATATATATGTATATAGAAAAGAAAGCGGCATAAATATGTTTTTAGCGATTTGTTGTTGTTGTTGTATATTTAGTTTGGACAAGGATTATTCGAAGCGAATTCGTAATTGTGAAGCAAAGTTTAACAGGCATATACACTCAGAGAGAGTGTGTGAGAGAGAGAGAGAGAGAGGGGGTGAGAAAGAGTAGGGAAGAGCCAGAGAGAGAGAGAGAGAGATTTTGCAAACTTCTATGTATGCCTTTAGTGATGAGAGAGAGAGAGAGTCCTTTGCTTATAAGCGCATTAGCACAGCTCAGGCAATCGACACTAGCCGATGCTGGGAAACTGCTTTAGGAGGCAGCAGGAGGCGGAAGGCAACCGGCAGGAGGCAGAAGGCACTCGGAAGCTGGCAGCTGGCTGTCGGGGATCAGAAATCAGTGGCCAAGAAGCCATTTAAGCACGAGCGGGCACAACTTTGTGGCTCTGATTAAGTACGAGTAGTTAAAGCACTGTGCAACACAGTTTTCGTTTCATATTAAGATGTAAGCATTAATTAATATAACGCGATATTGAAATCGATTTTCGATATCATTAAAATGATTTTACACCAATGTTTCTCAGTTACAATTGAAATGGGGCAACGAACTCATAAGAATCATTGCCAAGTCCGAGTTGTTTTTTTTTTGTTTTTTTTTTTTTGAGTCAAGCTCAGCCCATTCAAGACCAGAAATGTTTTTTTTTTTTTTGTATCGATAATATAAATTATGCCTCTATTTAGTATTTTTTTTTTTCATGGGGCTGACTCGAATCATAGCCAGGGTATTTCTTAGTTTTTTTTT